AATTGTAGCAAGATACATCAGCCCCTGATAGCATAGCGATGCCAGGAGTACACCTAAAAATGTATTTCAACACAGAAATACAAAATTCAGTTGAAAGATTCTATCACGATAGAGAAATACAAACAGAAAATGTATTCCTAATATACTATCACAATACTTTTGTATCTGGATATTGCCCAACCTTGATTCTCTTAAGCTGGATGGCCTCTGCCTTATATTTCTCTGAGTTGCTCGGCATTTTCAAAGGCTTTCTTGATGTTCCATATTCTAAGTCACCGAGCTGACTCTCTTAACGTTACTCTCTCCTGTCCACGGGAAAAATATAAATTTTCAAAGGTTCCGTGGAAACGCTTTTACTTTCCTAACTAACTTGCATATGGAGCAATGTGACATATCAAAATGTGACCAATTAGTTGCTCTCAAAAGAAGCAGGGGTTGTTATAAAACAGGAAAAAGATTTAAAAAATTTATTTCTTGAAAGTACAATGTATGTCTGGAAGACGTGTAAACGCCGAACCTTCTAGAGCTATGTCGAATTAAACAACAAATAGGAAAGATTATGAATACAGTAAATGTGCCCCATACCGACGGCTATTACTTCTGAAACTTAGTGTATTGACGTCATTTTTGGTTCGTCGGAGAGTTAATCTCTGTAACACGTTAGCTTTTTAACGAAGAAGTGCTTATATTGGGACACACAGACAGTACACCTCCCGTCCCCAGCAGAAGGCTTTCTTTATGTTCTACCTTAGTTTTGTCATAGCCTTGATTGCACTTTCTTCATATTTAGCATTTTTATCCGCCTTGTTGGGAACATAAAACGTGCATGCCGGCTCCGGACAGCATTGGACATTATAGTGATGCTTACCGACAAACGTCTGTTAAGCGACGCCTATAACACCATTCAAAGTGTCCCCAGAGCTCTTGAGGCCTAAAAAGAATATGCCACAATACAGTTGAATTATGTCAATAATGTCATCTTTGTTACGAAAGCTGATGCAAGCAGTTAGCCATGTTAGATAAGTGCCACCTCCATTCCCAGGACTTTTTTTGACAGCCCATCAGCTTGTGATAAAGCTCAAGCCCACGTCGAAATTGAAACTGGAGTCCTTTGGTTATCCACGAGATTGTGGAACATGATTCTCCGCACTAAAGTTAATTTCTTGATGGCGCTCGGAGACCATTGGCCACCGGTGATCGATGGCCTATTGGCGCGGTCAGGGTAGAGTTAATCTCTGCTTGAAGCTGATTTTAGTGATATCTCTCAATGTTTCTCATCCAGAACGAATTGGCTGAATTAAGGGGGCAATGTAGGGTATTTGATTCATGCTGACAAAAAGGCAAACAACGCACAAAAAAGAGACAAGGTAGAAGATGTGCACACAGAACGAGCGCTGACTCTCAACTAAACTTTCATAAATAAACAAAATCAGCAACACTGAACACGTCGTGGGGTGACCAATCAATACGTAGCTAAAAATGCGATCTCTTTGCTGTGTAAATTCAGCGACGTCTGGCTGACTCATTACCTTCTTTTTTAATAGCATAGGCTTCTAAAATTTCCCTAGTCGGAAGGGAGAGATTATTTGCAATGGCAGGGGTCGAAGAACTAAAGAAATTTCAAAAGCCTTTGCGATTAAGAAAGAAGGCACGAAATGCGTCTGCCAGACATCGCTGAATTTACACATCAAAGAGATTGCATTTTTAGCCACGTAACGATCGGCCACCCCGTGATGTGTTCGGTGTTGCTGATTTTGTTTTTTATTAAAGTTTAGTTGAGAGTCAGCGCTTGTCCTGTGTGAACTTCTTCTACTTTGTCCCTGTTTTTACGTGCTATTTGCCCTTTTGCCCTCTTTTTTTTTCCTTGTCTTGGACATTTTTTGTGTTTTTTAGCTTTTAAACTTCTTATCTTGGATAGCTTGGTTGCCTTTCACAGGCTTTGGTGCCCCAGGCTCTCAAACTAAGCAAGATTCGTCACCTTGGAGCACAGCATATGCATATAAAGACAACACCGTAGAAAATCCACATGCACAAGCAAGTGTGTTTAGCTGAGTAAACAGTACCTGTTTACACACTTGTTGTACATGTGAACTGTTCCAATACAATGTACAATATGAATGCAGTGCTACATATGTTTACACAACTCTTGTCCTTTATTGCACATCTTTGTGACAACATGTTCAAAACATCCAAACAAATTTACTGTAGTTTTACGCCTTTTGCATGCGTGAGGGATAAATTTAGCAGCATTATAGAGACACCAACATCTGCCGGTCCTTGTGAGGTAACATTAGAGAAATCTTATTCTTAGTCGAGAAACTATCCCACATCAAGTCTGTAGATCATTACACCTGGTGTTTGCAACAATGGGCAGCTGCTTCTTGAAGGCATTAGCTCATTTCTTCCATGTTTGTGTGTGTGAGCAGTAAAAAGCCTCCAGGTATGAGAAGACATATTGCTTAAAGCTTGTAGAGCTTGAAAGAAAGAAGCTTAAAATAATCATGGTTAAACAGGCGTTCAACTATCGTCCGTTGCAACTCAAGAAGGTAGGGCGAGGGAAAGGCAGGCTGGGGAGGAGGAAGCACACAGAATGCTAAAGAGAGGAGGAGGTTTCTCCCCCTCTTCTCCAGCGTTTCGTCTGCTTCCTCCTCCCCGGCCCGGCTTTCCCTTGCTGTGCCTTCTTGAGTGGCAACAGACTATAGGTATGAGCAGGTATATTACATTGCCCACGATTGTGATCAAATTAGCATCCTTGAAACTAGGCAGGTCTGAGAACAAAAATTTTAGGTAGCAATTGCACTCCTTCCTGAAAGTGATGCATAATTGTTACAAATTACTTTTATGCACGAGTAATTCTAATTACTAGGGCTAACTAATTTTGGAGCAAAAGTATTCAAATTGAATTTTATTTCTAAAGCAATCTATTCAAGTATTGCCCCTCCTCCCTTATATTTGTATGGTGAGATGTGGCTCTGCCGCAGCAATTTGCTTTTTCCAGAGCTAGAGCATACAGTCGAAGCTGCTGTAAAAACTCTGGGTCAAAATACTAGTGTTTTGATGGCACATCTAAATGATGTTCAAAAAAAGGGGTTTCTTTGTGAACACAAGAGCAATGTAAAGGAAACTATTCATACTCTCAGCTATATTAAAAAGTTTGCTTAATAAAGCAGTATATACACTATAAAAATAATGCAGAAATCAGAAAGCTACTGAGAAGTGAGACTTTCCTATTTTTATTGCAAGATCTTACATTTAAAGGTAAACTACAGCTGATTTTGAGGATGACTATTTATGGTGTAAGCTTGTGCATAGATTTCTTTTTTATGACTATAACTTGTTTTGTACACCCTAAGCAGTCCTAAAAAATAAACAAAAAATTATAATCATGTGTGGCCTTTCTTCTTGATAAAGATGCGACAAAACATTGGGGCACACCTCTTTCCTGAGATGTATCTCAGAAAAAGGGGCGGTCACATTGTTTGGTTGCATATTTAATGAGGAAAGGACCACACATGATTGTAAATTTAGATTTTTAGGGTATGGAGATTGAGTTGCTGCCGCAAAAATCTAAGAACCCTCCTTATACCCCTAGCACTCTTGTTATATATGTATTGTTCCTATGGCATAAGTTGAGCAAGAATATTAAGAAGAAAGCTACAAAGTGAATATATGGTGTGAAAGACATACTGTAAACGACTTATTTTTGGCGGGCTCAAAATTTTGCGGTTCAGGTCAAAGCTAAAGTTTTGGAATAATCCGCGGGTTCTAATTTCCGTGACGCGGTGGGATTTTAATACATATTCCAATTTGTTTACATTTTACCAGAATTGCTTGCGGGGCATATTTTTCGCAAATTGTAGGCGATTTGCGAAATTCATGGAAATTAGGTCTTTGTAAAAATTAAGTCGTTTACAGTGGTACTTTTTGTTTTGTTTGATTCACTAGGCTGCTTTTATCACCAACTTTAGAGGGGTCCAGGCCAACCCGTCAAAAGCAAACTCATCGACAGCCAACTCGTCGGAGGCCCATTCGTTGAATAGGCCGATTTGTCATAGGGCAACTCGTCGAAGGAAAACTCGTTGGAGAGGCCAACTGGTTGCCACTGTTTCAAAGCCATAATATATCATTTTTGTCCTGAAATTTTAAAGCAAATCCTGCCCTATAATAAGTCGTAAAATCGCCGCACGGCAATTGACCTCCAGTGTGCACTTTCTTCTTGAAGATAACAATTTGCAGCTTTCGCCGCTTTTACGGTGCAGTGGGGGATGATCCCTACGTCGCATGTGTATCACTAAGGCACGTGTTAACCTACCCGGCCCACTCGTTCACGCCGCTTGGCGGCGACAATCTGCGGCAGCTCATTACAAAAAAGTAGTAAATAAAAACAAACAAAAGGACGATCCCGAAATGAACATTTCTCAACTTGTCTCAAGGTACTTTTCTGTCTTTGCCCTCTTGTGATTTTTCTTTCTGCCTTGTAACCTAACAAGGGTGCTGTCCCTAGTTTTAGTATATCGCTAAAAGATATTCCGTCATCGCTGAGCGGGCCATTTCCAAACCTACGCACATTGGGATGATTGCCCCCTTTAAACAAGTTGCCATTCAACGAATTACCTATTACAAATTGGCCTATTCGGCGAACCGGCGATCGACAAGTTGGCCATCAACGAGTTGGTCGGATCCCACCATAGAGATGTATTATATTTGCGACTCTTCACTCAAAAGGTAAAATACTAGATATCTGAAGACAAATAAACATGGGAGCCTCCTGAATGGTTTATTTTTTCTTTCTGTGGAAAACTAATGAGTATAATTTACAAACGGATACTTGTTTCATAATTAGCAAATCGTTTAGTCACAATACTAATCTTAAGGGCTTATTTGCCTTCCCATCAATGATATCCACACTTGCGCTAGAATATGCATGTTTCTTCATTGATTATCTAAGGCTGTGTTAAATGCCTTGAGGATGAGTGATGATTGGAATTGTTTGATTTCAGGATGGAGGCAAGTACTGGGATTAGCAGTTATGGACTGTACTGAAGTGACAAACATCAAGTTCTGCCGGCTCTTTGAAGTCACCTCTTTTCCAACTCTCGTGGTAAGGGCTGCCTTACTAATTTCAAAGATTTAAGGAATGTAACAATGGCTGTCTCATGATTTCTTTTGAGTCTCATTAGGTCTTCTGTTTCTTTTTTGTGCTTCCCTGTAAATCATTCCAGAAATTGGCCCTTGTCCAATATTTACAGTGTGCTGGTGCATTTGAACCACACATTTTCTTGGATGCCTCAATGATCTTCTTATTAGGGCACTGCCACTCTTTGTAATATCATACTCAATGTAAACAGGATGTGATAACAAGAAAAAAAATAAGGAAATAGCAGTACACAAAATGGCAATAAAACATTGGTCAAAGCTAAGGGCTCAAGCAAGGAGGCACTTTTTCATGAGATGAAGTACAAAGAAAAGGAAGAACTATGTCACGAAATGATAAAAATACTTCCCTGTGTGTTTGATTGTGCTGTTTTCATGGTGGGAAATTAATTAGATAAGTGAACTTCCTTAACTATAGTCTGCAAGCTGTGGTACATAGTCTTATCCAACTATATTTGTCAGATTGACACTTCCAAGTAGTGTAACCAAGTGACTGCATCCAAAGCGAGATCTACTTCATTGCTCTTAAACATTACCGTTAAACTACTACAAATATTTTTTTATCTCATGACTTGGAGTCCTTTTTTCTAGTCTAAGGAGCCCTTTTTCTTAACAAGAGGTGTGCATGCACGTCCTAGAGCACACTCGTGGTTCCTTTGACTGTGCGGCTAAGAAGAATAGCTCGCAGATACGAAGATACCGTAGTACTGGGCTGTGGTGCGGTTCACAGTGGGAATGTTAGTACAAAGTTGCAACCTTCTTTTCAACAGTTCCTGGGGACGAAGGCCACACGTACGGACCGGGGCGAGGTGATTGAAGCTCACCGTTCCATTACGAACCTGCGGCATCAGGCACTGTCTTTGTTGCAAGGAAACCATTCAACGGGTCCTCACCCCAGGCCCCCTTCCTGGCCTTCCCTGGACCCTTTACCCGACAGGTACTGCTGCCAGATAAATTATGTGTAGATTTATTACCTGGGTCCTCAGGAAAGCGAGCTTATGGCTTTGCAGCTTGCATTGTTGCTCGTCTTTCACCTTTTTCCAGGAAGACCTAAAGGGGTTAGAATACGAAAATTTAAGAGGTAGATTACTCTTGAAATGGAATGCTCATAGGTTTCTTTGTATACACACTAAGTTTCGCGAGTTTTAGAGCTCTAGTAATTGCAATAATCAATTTGCGAATGCTGATAAGTTTCGACTGCTGACCAGTCAACACTGCTCAACAGGGCCGTACCCAGAAAAAAATTTCGGGGGGGGTTTTTCGGGGACAACGGCAGCCATTTTGTCTTATTTTCGCCTATGAATCATGTGCATCGGTGGCATATAATGGAGAGTTATAGCAAACCGAAGAACCGGTCCCGGTTTGGTACCCGGTAGCCGACCGGTGCCACTGCGCGTGCGCATAGGTGGAGATTAAAATCGGCTGGCTGCAAGTGCACCGACCAGGGCCGTACCCAGAAAAAAATTTCGGGGGGGGTCAGGACCCCCTACCCCCCCCCCTGGTTACGGCCCTGCTGCTCAAGTTAGTCACACCATGGTGTTTATAAACTGCGTGATTATCATATTTAGTTGAACACTCTTATTTTAGGCTCCTCCGTGCTTGCCCAAGCTTGTCGCACCCTGGTACAATCGCACACTCTCAAGCTACTCGGCTACTCCAAAGAGTACTCTCGCTCTCGTCCCCTTGTCCTTTGACCTTCCACTCTGCATGCACAGGCGCGATTCTCGCGGGCGACGGCGAGTTTGTCCGTGATTGTCGGTGACTGTCTCATCGTTATCGCTGGAGCTAGTCACGAGCCGGTTGAAGTCGAAACGACCAGCTTCCAGCATCTTTTGATATTATAACTCTCATCGCCGCTGTGATAAGTGTCAAAAACTCCGACAGAGCGAGTGATGCCGTAGGCGTCGCCAACTCGAAACCGCACGCTTGTAATGCGGAAGGTAAACGTTGAAGCTGAAGCGCAGGGTGCCGAGAGAGCCAAGTCTGCGAGTGCGTGCCAGGGGACGCCGTCCGCAGATGACATCACCGACCCAACAGACACGAAAGCATTTTCGAATCGGGTAGATGCGAGGGTCCCGTATATAAATCGATTTATCCACGAAACTATAGCGCCATTATCAAAACAACTTTAGCAGGATTATAGGAACATGCAATGGGTCCTTGCAGTAGAGTTGTCTTCTATTTTATTTTTTGGCATGTCCTAACTTTTTAAAGGGCAGAAAGACTTTTTGAAGGTAAGAAAACCTTTGGACCTATTGGACGCAAGTTGAGCTTTTTAAGCATGCAAGTTCATAGCGGTTACTTGAAATGCATATTTTGGTTCCTGAATTTTTTTTAGAAAGAAAACTAGCACAATTGCAGAGTGTCACTCTGCCGGCGTTATTGGAAACCGAGATTACTATTTTTGGTCCTTACTGCTTTTCCTAGATTAGAAAGGGTACAGTATAGAATGCAGAGTGGTATGTGTGAAACCTTATGCAATGTGTCTTTTGGTTTTATTGTATTTTGTAGTATTGTGTTTTTATTATGGACGTAGTCGCTTATCAAATCATTCATAGGCTCTGGATGTTTTTTTTTGTTGTTGTTCAGAATTGTTTTTCTTTTATTTTTTTTTTATGTAGAGGCCGTGCCTAAATTTTCTCACACTGCTGTGGTGGTGCTTTCAGTGAGGTGAGCCTGGCCCAACTCTGGAACAGGGTGCCGCAGCAGGTTCATACAATGGTGATCGTATTCGAATCTCAAGCATCCCTCGTCGGGCAAGAGGTATGGCTCCCTTGGCACCTACAGCTTGCAGCATGACAGTGCAAGGTCGTTGATGAGGTCACAACCCTGCTTTCACCTCTGGCTGTTACCCTGCACTCTTCCTGAAGTTAGAGAGACCATGAAACGAGTTTTCCACTTCAACTAATTGGTGCTTCTCAAGAATGAAACACACATTTGTTTTTATTTAAGCTCGCTAGCTCTTCCTTGTGCAAATGAATGGTCCCATCTATGCGGTGCAGTGAGTGTCAGTCGAGAAAACATTCGGATTAGTTAGAATTATCATCTGGCGAGCCCAACTGCTCAGTTGGGCTCACTGAGTGCGTAAAAGAGAATAAGGAGAGGTTGTGTTTGTCACTTTGTGTGTCCCTCGTTTGGTCCTCGTCTCATGCGCTGAAAAGTTGAATCACTAACTCACCCAAGCTTCCATCCTTACGAACCTCATTGCAAGCACATTCTTCATGGACCCTTTGCACATTTCACTACTCAGTGTCATCGCGAGGCAGTGCTAGGGGGTGTGACAGGCCTGAACATGATTGTTGATTGTGTCACCATCTGGTGTTCACAGGTGACCTTGGACCTGTCGGGCAACCCCCACTGTCGAGTGTGGCACCTGGTGAATCCGTCACCGAGCAGCCCCCTCCTTTGGGAGCTGTCTGAAGCTGGAAGTCAGCCAGACAATTCCACCACCCAGGCCATCATCTACACTGTACTGCGGGACAGCAAGGCTAAGTTTCTCCTGAGGTTGGCTTCCTCTCCTGAAAAAAAAAATTCTTAGCTCTTTGCCATTTTAAGCTTCGTAGGAAAGTGTTTTTTTATGCTCCAGGAGCCATGCCTTAGATCAAAAGTAAGGCAGTCTTTCTGAAGCTTTCATACTTCATTGTCAACTTCAGACTTGGTGGAGACTCTTTCTGGTGTGGTCAGCCTTGCCAAAGGGAATAGTATTCACCATATGAATTTAGATACAGTCAAACGCCTTTATAACAAATGGCTCTACTACGAAAACGCCCGTTTAACGAAGCAAAAATAAGTTCCCGGCCAATCTCGTATGCGTTCAGTATGTTTCTCCAATTACAATGAATTTTAGTTTAACAAATATTTCTGTTTAACGAAGCAATTTTTCGGCTTCACGAAGCAAAATGACAGGTATTACGAAACTTTCTATGTGAAAAATAATTGATTTCATGTAAATTGTCGTGCTGAAGTTTTGGGCACAGATGAGAAAAATATTGTGGCGGTGGTGACGATTGAAACCGCTTCCGCTGCGCCGCGTGGCGCGTTCTCAGATTTGGGTTTAAATAATTTGTTAGTGCAATCCTGTATCTAGATGGTGCTACATGACTATGGTGCTGCATAGAAAGCCTGTGCACAGCAACATAGTCACATAATATGCGCTGCAACATAGTCAGATAGTACCATCTAAACACAAGGTTGCGTACTAGCAAATTATTTAGACCCAAAACCAAGAGCACGCGACCAGCGTGGCAGCGATGGAACCAGCGCTACAGAGGCAGTGCCGCGCCTTTGCCATGTGCTACCACCGCCACTCCAAGATGAGATATTTTTCAATGCTCTGTCCGGGCAACGCAGGCATTCATTCTCTTATTTGCATGTATGTCAACACATCTGAAAGGACCCCCTAACAAACGAGAGTATATATATAAAAAAAAACTTAAACGTCTTTTCATCAGCAGTCGCAACTTCTTTATGCTGTCTTGGCATTCGTTCGACCGTCGCACCGACCTTCGTCAGGATCCGAGATTCCCAACCTTGCTCGATCAGAGTCCCAAATTGTTCCGCCTTGGAGCGATAATATGCAGTCGAGGAGACATGATTCGTGACTTTACCCGTAACACTGAAATCTAAGCAAAATCAGTCGTGCCGCTCAAAAAGAAACGCGCACGCCCCTTTGTGTGCCAGACAGATCTGAAAAAGAGCCCAGTCGGCTTGGCTTTGCGCCTCTCCCCATCCTTGCTGCGCCGCTCACTGCAGCTGTCGCGTGCCGAGTGCGTGGCCGATTCTGGCATGCTGCCGTGTGCTTCCGTGCTCGCTCCTATGCCATGTAGTGACTACACACGATTGAGAGCAGCACAGCTGCTTTGAGAGCCTCATTCGAATGACACGTGGCGGCGCAAGCCACCGCCCAGGAAAGGCCACGCTTACACTGCCAGCAAACGTCTTCGCTGCGTGATTGAGGGTCGATGTCGGTGGTTTAGTGATTGTAGTGATCCATATTCTGATAAGTCAGTTAAGTTCGTTGTGTGGAAGTTTGGACAGCAGGAAATTAGACTGCAGCAAGGAGCACCCGGTGTCTCGGCTGTAGATGACATACTTTGCCACTGGAGGTACTGGCGGTACCACTGCTAGCCTGGTGTCTTTAAATTGCGTCATGCAGCGGTGTGCGCACAAACGCCTAACAATGCAATTTTTTATTTAGAAAAAAATAAGAGGTAATCGGGCCTAAGATGCCTAGGTAATGCAGTGCAAGCTTTCGCCCCACATGCTCCGGGCTGCGATTTGCTTGTGGACTTGGTCACCATTCCCCCTTTTGATAAGTCAGTCGTCAATGTACAAAACCTAGTTTTAATGCGAAAGCATTAACTGGTCTTATGAAGTGAGCTGACGTCATCAGCTTTGAAACCTCGCCAAACGGCACCTTAAATCCTTTCTCCAAGGGAAGCCAGCTCCCAGCTATGAAACCACGCGAAAAGCTAGCCAACGGCACCTAAATTCCCCAATCCAGTGATGTGATTGCTGCGCCAATTGCGCCAAACTGCGCCAAGGGGCTAACCCTGCTACATCCTGCTACATTTCGCCAAAATATGGGTCATCGTGCCAAGCCTGCGCCAAAGGACCAATTTCGGTCGCCTTTCAAAACCGAAACTAAACTGAGTACAGTGTAGACCGCATATAACGTATGTCGCGGGAGTCGCGAAAATCCGCACTATAAGCGGTACCGCACTATAACCAAAACATCAATTTTTCAGGTCAAAATACATGCCATCAGACAACTTACCTTTGTAAAAGAATTTATTTTATGTTAGATGAAAAATAAAGCTTAGTTTGAGGAAAGTCTTTATTTCACCAGACTAGTACACTTCTCTCTCAAGTGTGTCACACATTTTGAAACAAATGAGCGGCTTTTGCCTGGCGCAGCCTGTTAGCGGCGTCGCGGGTTGCGGACGGATGTTGCGAGCGTTCAGGATTGCTAACCCTAATCACTTTTCTCCGGAGATGAAAACGCGTGAAAATTCGCATCCTTCATACGGTACGCGCCAGTAATACCTTGCACTTGAGCACACGCATGAAATGCGCCAAAAAAGAAATCCGGGCGATGTTCGAGGACACAAATGCTTAGAAATCACCACTGTAGTCGAAGTAAACAAACACGACGACACGGGCGTTTCTGCCGACTTGAGAGCGCCGCCACGACATCGCCGCTCGAGTAGGTGGATCTTAATTCTCTTCTAATACGTGCCGGGTTATCATAGCGACACACGACGAAAATTCACAGTCAAGGATAGCGCTTTTACGCGGAACGATGAGATGAACGCCGTCTACGACGACGATCACAACGTTGATCACAACCGACGCCTTGTTCGCGGATAGAAGCAGCCGGCCCGCGACGGGCATGCAACGCGCGCGAACACTTCTCCTGTCGTTGCGGTTGTTGGTTTCCAACGCAGTGGAGGGACGCACGCACGTGAACGACACGTGCGTGCGTCCCTCCGTCGCTAGGGCAACTAAGCCTCTCTCTACGCTTCTCCCGCTTCTTCGAGCACCCTCCTTGCCCCGCGAGTGCCGCTTGCGCAACGCTTGCGGCTCGCGCCGTCAGCGCCGTTATCTAGTGTCGCACAGGCAAGCGTGCTTGCTGCTCCGGTCGTCGGCACGGTCGGCGGGCTGTGCCAGAAACCGCACTATAACCGGTATTTCCCGTCGCGCGCCTGCGTTTTAAGCGGTATGTAATTACATGGAGTTCTATGGGAGGCGAACCGGTGGTTTAAAAAAACCTCGTTATACCCGGTCCTGCACTATAAGCGGTTACGTTGTAAGTGGTCTATACTGTACCGTAATTGACCATGCGCGAGCTAGGTGGCGCAAGCGGCCGCCCGAAGAAAGTATGCTGCACCAATCGTTCATCCGGTCTTGCGTGGTTTTTCTCGCCGTTTCTCATTTCGCACTCACGTAAGTCTCGTCTCACATCCTTTAAAAAAAAAATTTAACAATAGATGCAAACGTGTGCGGACGCCCCGACACTAGCTTGTTGGGTACCAGCCATGCCGTCGTGTTGTAAAACAAAAGCACATTTTTGGGCGGTGGGAGTTACTTTGTGATCTGAAGCACTCGCTTCTGAAAGAAACGGCCGTGGCAAAGCTATTTTTGGTCCCTGCCCACCAGTCACCGTGGTTGCATGACGTCGGTTGTTCCCGTCCACACATTGGTGCAGATATGGCGCTTTCTAAACTGAAACGTAAGGACCGCTGCAAGGTAATCAGCAATACTGTCCTTGTTTAAATTATACGCTACTACAAAATCTCCTCTTTAACTCAAAGACTGCTGTGTCGAAGTATTAATTACCTAGGTTTCTCTCGGTGGGCTTTCTTTTAAGAGGGACCCTGGTACGTGAAAAGTCTGTTGCAAAGGAAAAGTTTAAGACAAGTTAGCTAAAGCAAAAAAGGCAATGTCTGCACGCTGAACCCGCACAGCGCGCTTGTTTATCTCGAGTTCAGTTGTTGCACAAAGCGCTCCAATAACGTTTTGACCCTGACTCGCGATGTCTTGCATTAGTGCTTAATGCGCTCAGGTTCTTTTTTTTTTTTTTTTTGTGATTAGCTTTATTGTTTTTGTTTTGTTTGTGCTTTTTAACCTTTTAAATTAGCTTGTGCCTCGCCTACTGGCCTGGCAAGCACATGCGGCTGGACTGTGTTTTGTTTTTTTGTCGTACGCTGGACCATTACATTTTGCATACAATTTTGGGGACCAGAGGGCGACGGAGTGGAGTGGCAGAGTTTCGGTTTTGATCGAACAGCCATCTCCGCTCGCACAACAAAGCGCGTGAAACTGCAAGCTGCCAAAGTTGCCCTCGCGTGCATGCGAACATTATTGCACGACAGAGGCACCAGCCGGGACGCTTGCAATCCATTGCTTTACATTTGCTTGCTTTTGACGAAAATCTGGCATGTCGGGAAACAGTAAAACGGTGGGAGATGTTTTGGAATTGCTCGGCAATGCCTACGGCACTGTACACTTGTGGGATGTCTCAACGTCTCTTTGGAGACATTGAAAGTGGACATTCATTACTTGCCGAAAGCTAAGCGACGCTTGCAGCGACCTTGCAGAAATTTTCAACATGCAAAAGGAAAAGCACCCACCAGTCGCACTGCACCTTTTTCATATGTACACTTTCGTATTGCACCGCAGTGGTTACGTGTTTCATCAGCAGGATACTGCTTCAATTTATAATATTATATAACTAGTGAACTTTATGCTTTCATATTTACTGCTAAGCTGTGTCATTTTCAAATAAATTTAATATGTGTAGTTTGGTTCTTATTTATCTATAGCGGGTACATATATATGTATCCTTTAACTGAAGCATTGCCAAATATGTCGTGTCATTGGCATTTCAGCTAACATCTTGAAAGACTCCCAGGTCGTTTAACTTGACCATAATTTGTTTATTGTGGCGAGCAAAGTGCCCTTCCTTTGTCCAGCACTTAAAACAAATAATTTAATTTTTCTAA